ATATATATATATATATATATATATATATATGTTAAATATCAAATCAACAAGCACACAAGCGCTGTTTATACCGATTAAGGAACGTATCCGAAATTCCTTCTGTTTTCTTTCTCTCATGTTAGTTCTCAAAGAAAATTTCACTTTCCAGATGCAAAAACAATCAGGTCAAAAAGTAAAACTGCTCCTGAATCTTGACTATATTTGTAACCAGAAAATTCGAAGTTAGAATAAGCTTCCTGGAAGGAAAAAAAAGAAAACCATCATTAAAATTACCAAATGAAGCCAGCCCTTTAATCACTGTAACGGACTTATTTTTTCCACGGGCTACTCGTTGCAATGTAACTTTCGTTACCACATCCTTCTTCACTGCCGCATTTTTTTCGCTTACAATCTTAGAACCCTAAAAAATTTACAACTTTAAACTTTCAACCCTGATACTCTTTGGATCGAAATATTGCAATATAAAAGCAAGTTTTGCAAGCAGTGAATCATCATCGCATGATTTCAATTTCACAAAAGTTCATTAATACTACAGCTTTCTACACCAATGAAGTATACTTCTGAAAATGCAGGAAGGAAAGAGCACGACAATAAGCCGAATATGACTATGTAATTGCCAACCTACAGGTTCATGACACCAATCGTTACTTCGATTCATTAGTTCAGCTGTCAATGGTAAATGTAAAGAAGTGATGATATTAACAATCAGTTCACGAACAGTAATAAATAATAGGGAATATATGCGTGGGAAAACATAGCCATAATCCCTGTACATTTATTTTTGTAACGAAAGTAATAATATTGCTCAAGATATCACTCTGAATTTCCCGTCTCTCTTTTCTCAGGCACCCATAAAATTTTCTAAACCTAGATCTCAAATAAATAAGGAATATATAATAAGAAAGCGAAATGTTTACCTTGCCACCTCGTTTCTGATGTTTTTTTTCGGCATCCGTTGATTCCTTCCGATTCCCCAAATTCAACTTCTCAAATTCGGACGGTAAGTTAGCTTCTAACCAACTCAAACATTTATCAGTCATCCCACTATACTCACAATATTCAAGCGGCATACTACATACTGGAAAAAAAAAAGACGATTTGTAGTATTTCTTATGAAAATGAAATCTAAAACTTCAATTCATGGAATGACAACAAATTTAAAGTCCTCATTTACATCATTAAAAAAATAAAAACAACCTCCACAGTACTGCACCGTGAGGGGATACGTAACAGATTCTGCATCTGTTGCTTCTCCATCATCGGCCATCCCTACAGAATCCGTAAATTAAACCAAAGCGCAAATCATAGACATCCTACACAACCTTCTCGCATCATAAAAAAGCCCTTTAATAAACATAAACAGGACCGATTCACTCTTCCAAATTTCTGTTCTTTTCACTCTTATCAAAAACGAAGAATTATTCAAAGTTATGAAACTTTTAGAACCATTATATTCCTCAGATTAAGACTTTGTAAGTGTAGACTAAAAAGTAAAACGGAACATTACGAAATGTATGCCATACCGAAGTACCGGACTTCTTGTAATGGATATGCCTTGTCGATGATGCTAACCTTTTACGGTATTATTTTTAAACATTAATTATCAGTATATAATCACAATTGAGCACTCTAAGGACTCGATAGAGTTAAACAATTAGTAATTATCACCGTTGCAATAAGGTGCAAACTGCATTACTGAAAAATTGAGCCACCGATTGATTTCCCTCTCTTATGTAATACTACATGCCATATTTGTGAGCCGGGATAGAAGCGAAATTCCGAAAAAATCAATCGATTGCCTTTTTTCAAACATTATATAATTTGAGCATATAAAAAAGAAAGAAAAAAGTGAGAAAAATTTCCATATATCAAAATTTCCATATATATTGGGAGAAAGAGTTACAATAAATATAGCAACTTAACAGTCAACATTAACACATTCATTACGGATATAATAAATAAGATGCAACATTCCCTAGAAAAGTTATCGAAAAGATTAAATTTATCAAAACATTATGAAACCTATCATAATCGAAATTATAATAATTACCTTGCAGAGATCAATGCTCAGGCTAAAGCAGTAATGAACAGCAACCTAGAATTTAAAATTGTTTTTTTTAAAGCTATCGCCACATCAGAGATATATGCGAAATTCGCAGGATATGCAAATATCAACACCACATGAAATTCTAGCACATAAACAGTAAATCTGAATTTTGATTTACAGCTGATATTTTTGAGAAAAATCAAAATTAACGGATAAAGAATAGTTTTTCGTTTTAAGCTAAGATAATTAGTCAACACGATATTCGTGTTATTGCACATGTATCGTATATATAGTAAAGGCTATAAAAACGTTGCATGACAAATCAAAGGACAATTACACGAAATAATATTTCCATAAACATAAACAAGAGAAAGACTCAGACCCCGAATATTCAAAAAGAAAAAGTGTATGAATGCACGTATCTTTGCGTTTTTCTGAATTATTTGGTCCTACAACATATATTTATTTCAACACTATACACTAAATTGACGCTTATAAAAAAACCGGAAAGATTAAAAGATATATAAAACCATGCGAATAGATGGATTTCGATGAAAGAAAATCCTTCAGGAGAACATATATAATTCATGAAAGTATACCACAAAGCCAAACTAAATGCAAACCCAAAAATTTTACAGTGCGAAATCACAGATTAACTTCCATAATTTCCCATTTTTGCGTATCTAAGTCATCTGTACAACTGCGTGCAACTATATTATCATTTTTCGTCAGTCCTAACACATCCAAACAGAGATCCGTATCTTCATTTCGTAATTTTCCATCCTGAAAATTCCGAATTATTCGTTATCCATTCGGTAAACTTCTGCAGTATGAAAACTCTTAAATACAACTCCCAACACATCCCTCATTTCTTTTTTTTTCTCCCTTTCGTAAACAACATGAACCAAATGAGAACTTTAGAACAAAACTGATGTAATGCGACAAAGAAGGAAAGAAGGAATGAAAATTTTTCGGTCGAAAAATGCAATTACAAACAAGAAATTACCTTCAAAGTCCATTTATCTTCTTTTTCACTTTCTCCACAATACACTAAATGAACAGCTGCTTTATTATCCACAATAGTATTTCGATCAATTTTAGCGCAAGTTAACTCACGTCGTAGCTTTCCATCATTTGTCAAGGAAAAAATCTAAACATAATTTCAAGACATATCAACTATATTAGATTTTCGCAACGTTGTGATTTTCTGCAGTTGCAAGTCTTATGACCAGGACCATTTGAAAATCACTAAGGCAGCAAGATAATGCTCGGATGGAGTTATAATTAAGCATGGACTATCTCACGTAGGTTACACTTTACACTCATAATGTATAACCATTTCAGAGTCACCGTATCTTCATTATTTGGCTTCTTTTCGTATCCACCAATCTTAGCTCACTTTAAAAACATTCCAACTAACAACGGCCAAATTTTTGCGGATTAAACTAAATAGGTGGAAGAAAGAATTTCCAAATATTTTAAACTTAATGAAATTTTAAAACATACTTGAGCTTCGCTTTTACCATTCTGACAAGGAAAGACAGCAAGAGATACAGCCTCTTTTTCATCTTGTTGCAGCGTATCCAGACAAAATCCACTGGAAGGATTTCGCAGCTAAAATTAGCAAATCAAAATGTGAAGACACATAAATTTTCTGTTATATAACGTGATAACATAAGGTACTCCCAGAAGCAATTCTTCATGCCAAACGTTGAGTACCATAACCCAGTGTGTAATCTTGAAGAACTTGAACTTAACCGAAGGACTGATGAACGGTCCGTTATTATACATGCATATATTCCGAATGCTGCTGGCAACTTATCCAATACTCTTTACAAGAGCGCAAGTACTAACTTAAGTACATTTATATTCTAAGAAAGCAAACAATTTACTGCGCCGAATGCTGCAACATTTTCATCCAAAATGAATTTATTTTTCGCGACGTTTTCCAAATACCACTTAAATGACTTGCATTTCAGTTTTTTGCGCAAAGCTCTCCTTTCCGAGAGATCGCCAACGTTCTTCTCCTGTAAGGCAAAATTAACCCACATAACGTATGAGTTTAATAAAAAATGAGACCATTTTTATTGATACTATTCAATTTTTGTAGAATTTAATGCATTGTCTACGAACTCCATCTTCCAAATTAACACATCTACTAGATTTAATCTCTTCAGCTCACTTTTTCACTACCACTATTCAAATCTACCTCATTCCAACTTCAGCATTATATCTTCAAAGCTGACAGAGATCATTCATTTATGTATGACCAGAGAGATGATTCCTTTCTATAATTTGTAGTAAACAAAAGGCATATTATTACTTTGCTCTGAGTTTTTGATATGTTACATTTAAATTCGTTCCCAGAAAGGCTCATGAATAACCTTCATCCGTATGACTAGACTGAAGAGAAAACAATTCTTTTCTTCAACTATTTTTTTTTGAGCAGTTTTTTTATGGAAAAAATCAAAAGAGATTAAACTGAAAACAAGACTACTACAAAGGATGTTGTAAAACATAGGAACATCCTTGTTGCAAGACGCAACAAAGATGTAATAAAAATAAAAAAGTACTAAAGGAAAAACCAATTTGAGATTATTCAAAATTGTGGCATAACTTTTCCTACAGAAAACGTACCTTCAAATCTGACCGGTGTATATAATAAAATCTTTTATAATCATCCATCCATACTTCTGCAAGTCTTTTCGAATTGGTGCCGTGTACATCCTCATTATTACCAGGCCCAGTCATGTTATAAGGATGACCGGCTCGAAATATATGGCCAACATGTGAGCAAGGAATAAATTCTATGCCTCCACCACACATCCACACCTAAGACAATCGGGGAATTGATGGACAACTTTATGAAATCCCTAAAATGCTGAAATATTATTCACTTATCTATAAATGCTTCTTTTTTTGATAGTACAATACTTCCATTTCATCAAAAATTTTTTGAAAAAATTAGTGAAGTCTTCAAAAACGAACTCTGAATGATATTTCAAGATTTTCGCCACCCCATATATCCATTTTAGGGTCATATCCACCAACTTCGAAAAAGTATAACCTGTCTACTGCAAAAAGACCACCTGCCATTGTTGGAGACCTGAAAATACCAAACTACAGTAATCCCATGCATCTCTCGCAAAAAAAAGGTTTGTGATAAAATGCATTCTGTGCTGTATTTAAAAGTGAATGCAAGGAAAACATTGAAGGCAAAATATCCAGAAGGATAAAGTACCTTACCGATGTGCGAAAATTTCGCATAAAAAATTAAGATTTAAAAACATGGTGAATTAATACACAAACCTAATTGGTTTCGTAGGATCAATACCATAATATTCTTCTGGCAAGGGATCCCAGCGGAAATGAAGGCTCCACCAAAACCCACCAACATTCGCAAGGCGATCACTGCCCGAATAAGCCAGTGTTTCTGCTGATATATGATCAATTATAGGACAAAGAACAACTGACCGATTCTCTTTGATACGCGCTAACAGTGGTTCTAACCTGAAAAAAAGGCAAATGAGTGAAACTTGTAAAACAAATATAGATTTCTTCCCATAGCAACCGGTTGAATAAGAACTAGAAGCAATCCAACTCTCCCACAAAATGCAACTGTTCTCAAATGATATATATTTCGTGTTACTGCTGGAAGCATTTATGAAAAAAGAAAACTTCTAAGACATGTGTATTTGGATGATTATACTTAGTATGGAACGGAGACAAGTAAATCTGTAATCCAGATGTGACACGGTTGTGAACAACATATCACTGCATTTTACTACAATTACACAAAACCTTGGATAATACTAGTGATTTCAATGTAAACAAAAAGGAAAAGAATATAATGAAAACAAGTTACCATCCCTCTGATACTTCACAGTGGGAATCAAGAAATATTAATACATCACCAATTGCTTCTTTCGCACCCAATAATTTTGCCCGTATCAAGCCCTGTCGTTCCCGTGCTCGTATCAAGCGTACTTTGTTGCCAAAGCGTTTAATGTATTCTTCTAGCCTACCCTTCAAATCATCTGAAATAAACAGATAAATTTGTCACGCTGGAAAATTCAATCATGAGCGGTTAAAGTGCTGTTATCTACATAACATTATATCAGTGCTGAATAATGCCGATTTTAAGCGATCCAAATTCCATTCAAGGCCTGAATAGTTATCGCGAATTTCAAACCATTCAAATTTTATGCAAAATTCCCGATATCTTATGAGAAGGAAGATGAGAAATTCCCCTCAGTATTAACTTAAAGTAATTCTTTACCTGTCGCGCACATTTCCTTCACTCGACTATTCAAAATGAAAGACCGAACTGTTGCAATATGTTTGCAAACATAGGTTCAAATATTATTGATAGTAATATTTGGTATTTCTATATCGGTAATTTTTCTGATCGTATTTCAGGGCAACAATAAACACAATGTTAGCAAAAAAGAGAAGATATCATTAATTTGCTGTATTTAAACTTATAATTCGAATTTAAAACTTGACAGCAAAAAATTGAATATTTAATTAAAAAGTGAACCTCTCTGACTAAAATCATCAACAAGAATGATTTCTTGCAGCAATTTAAATGGTGTTCTATTGATTACGGAATGCACTGTTCGCATTAGAGGTGACCACGCTTCATCAGTGAAAATGATCACTACTGAGGCTACTGGTAAGTTATCAGGATAATTGATTTTACGGCACTGTTCGTGGCGATGATCCGGCAAACTCCGATCCAGTGATATCATATCACTGAAACAAAAATTTACAGAACGTTGATAGAGGAATGTTAAAAACAAAAAAATAGTGCCCAAATGATTTAGTTTAACCGCAGTGAATAAGTGACCAAGATAACTTCATAATAATAACATCGCAAAAATAATGGTGAAAATGACTACTTAACAATTCTGGACATGGTAGACATGCATTGTTTAGATAATTAAAAGTGAGGTAAAAAGTGAAGAGGGAAAATTATCATATGTCTATGATAATAAGAAAGCTTAAAAAAATTTTAATTTAAGAAGAATAAACAACAGTCGTCTTTATGTCAAAAATGCCACTGTGTTAACTTGATAGCAATTTGATGGATCCAAACCGAATACTTGATATTTCAACACTCATAATTATCCATAAAATGCAAAATCTAATTTTTACCGGATTTCGACAATATAATAACTCTTCATAAAAACTGCTATTTTTGATTATAAGCTTTACGAAAACGATACTTTGATTTACAGTGATGGCATCGACACCAATCTAATATTAGTAATAATTATTATCATAACTTGCCGACCTACAACGAGAATAATTTCGAAGCAACAATGCTTTTGAACATACATCGTAATTTTTACACAAGAATATTATTTTTTAACAAGCATAGATTGAAATCTTACCATGCAGGTGGCGATTTTTTGATTATGTTGATAATCTTCCACCAAGTTTTACTAATA